TTGCTACTAGTAGTAAGAATGCTCCTAGTAGCGATGCCAGGAGCCCCCCACAAGCCCCTACTAGCTTCTTGTTGCTAGTGCAATTCTATATACTTGTTGCTAATAGTAGTAAGGTTGCTCGTAGTACCGATGCCAGGAGCCCCTAGTAGCTCCTAGTAGCGATGCCAGGAGCCCTTAGGAGCCCCTACGAGCTTCTTGTTACTAGTGCAATTCTTTTTATTTGTTGCTACTAGTAGTAAAAATGCTCCCAGTAGCAACGCCAGGAGCCCCTAGTAGCGTCCTTGCTCCTAGTAGTATGGCTAGGAGCCCCTACTAGCTTCTTGTTACTAGTGGCAATTCTATACAATTGTTGATACTAGTAGTAAGAATGCACCTAGTAGCGATGCCAGGAGCCCCTAGTAGCGTCCTTGCTCCTAGTAGTAAGGAGCCCCTAGTAGCGTCCTTGCTCCCAGGAGTAAGGCCAGGAGCCCCTACTAGCTTCTTGTTACTAGTAGCAATTTTTTGGTTGCTACTAGTAGAAAGAATGCTCCTAGTAGCGATGCCAGGAGCCCCTAGTAGCGTCCTTGCTCCTAGTAGTAAGGCCAGGAGCCCCTACTAGCTTCTTGTTACTAATAGCAGTTTTACACACTTGTTGCTACTAGTAGTTACTAGTAGTAAGAATGCTCCTAGTAGCGATGCCAGGAGCGGCTAGTAGCATCCTTGCTCCTAGTGTAAGGCCAGGAGTTTCTTGTTACTGGTAGCAATTCTATATAGTTGTGGCTAGTAGTAGTAAGAATGCTCCTAGTAGCGATGCCAGGAGCCCCTAGTAAGGCCAGGAGCCCCTACTAGCTTCTTGTTACTAGTAGCAACTCTATATAATTGTTGCTACTAGTAGTAAGAATGCTCCTAGTAGCGATGCCACGAGCCCCTAGTAGCGTCCTCGCTCCGAGTAGTAAGGCCAGGAGCCGCTACTAGCTTCTTGTTACTAGGTGCTATTCTATATAATTGTTGCTACCAGTAATAAGATTGCGCCTAGTAGCGATGCCAGGTTAGGCCAGGAGCCCCTATTAGCTTCTTGTTACTAGTAGCAATTATATGTAATTGTTGGTACTAGGAGTAAGAATGCTCCTAGCAGCGATGCCAGAAGCCCCTAGTAGCGTCCTTGCCCCTAGTAGTAAGGCCAGGAGCCGCTACTAGCTTCTTGTTAGTAGTGCAATTCTATATAGTTGTTGCTACTGGTAGTAAGAGTGCTCCTAGTAGCGATGCCAGGAGCCCCTAGTAGCGTCCTTGCTCCTAGTAGTAAGGCCAGGAGCCCCTACTAGCTTTTTGTTTTTAGTAGCAATTCTATATAGTTGTTGCTACTAGTAGTAAGAATGCTCCTAGTAGCGATGCCAGGAGCCCCTAGTAGCGTCCTTGCTCCTAGTAGCAAGGCCAGCCCCTACCAGCTTCTTGTAACTAGTAGCAATTCCATATAATTGTTGCTACTCGTAGTAAGAATGCTCCTAGTAGCGATGCCAGGAGCCCCTAGTAGCGTTCTTGCTCCTAGTAGTAAGGGCAGGAGCCCGTATACTCGCCAGAAGCCCGCGGCATGTGCGCCGCAACCGCCGAGATCTTGGCGGCGTTGAAGTCGTGGCAAAAGCCCTCCAGCAGATATACCGCGTCGCCGACGCGCAGGTGGTCGCCCGCTTGTAGTGTCTGCGGCCCAGCCGCGACGAGTGAGGACGTGCCGCGGGTCACACCGCAGTGCGCAAGGACTTCCGCGCGCTGTCCCGACCCCTCCGGCAGCAGCGGGGGCTCCAGCCGCCAGGACGTGTTGTCGGGGTCGACGGGCGGACCCTCTGCCGCCAGCAAAACATCCTGCAGGTAGCGCCACGCAACGCCTGTGGACAGCGCGCCCCCCGCGCGGTTACCAGGTGTGCGTAGTGGTCGGCGGTCGACCCCTTGTACCGTTGATGGCAAGCCTCCATGGCCAAGGTTCCGGAGTTGCTCTGTGTGGTGTAGCCTACAAGGGAATGGAAAAGGGCAAATGCGCCGTCGAGAACATCGTGCTCTTTCTTGACAAGTTGGGGTACGATAGAGTTGTGCTACAGCATGTGGTCACAAGAGTCTTCACTAGCGGCAGTCGCCAGAGCCGTGCAACGGCATCAAGGGGCAGCTAAGGTATCTGTCCGAGCCAGCCCAGTCAAATCCCACCAGTCACAAGCCGCTTTCGAACCAGCAAATGGATTGGTAGCAGGGCAGATTAGGACACTTTAGATGGATCTCAGGGCTAGGTATCCAGAGGTGGTGCCAGGCCACAACGTGATGCCCTGGCTTGCGCGGCATTCGGCCTGGCTAATCGCGCGGTATCAGACCAGGACCGCCCACCACCTCACTGCCTACCACATGGTGATGGGACAGGACTACAACAAGCCAATTTGTCGTTTTGGTGAAGTAGTCATGGGACCCCAATGGCGGACAACAAGCTGAGCCGAAGATGGCTGAAAGGAATATGGCGAGGCAAGCTTGAACGCGATGACTCCAACATCATTGGAACCAGTGCTGGGGCTATCGCAGTGCGGACAGAGTTCGCCGCTTGCCTGAGCAAAACTAAGTAAGCGCTGAACGCATGGCATGCCTGAAGGGAGTGCCGTGGCAGCCGCGAGATGGCAATCGCATCGCACTGACGTGCAGGTGGTGCCAGCTTTGCCTGTGGCCATTCCTGCCACAAAAGCCGATGCGCCAGAAGACTTGCTGCAAACCGCCTGTGGAGCCCAAACCACCGGCGCTACCTTTCAGGGGGGCCGGGTGATCTTCAAACATGAGTGCACTGCCAGACACGCCCATGTGGGGGATGAAGCGAGAGCCGCCTCCAGACACTGCTGATAGGAGCGACAGCAAGGCACCACGAGTAGCGGCAATCACCGTGCTTGAAATCTGGGAGGCCGTGCAACGCTGGGGTGAAGCAAATGAGATTAGCAACCCTTCTGAAATCCAACGTATCAGCACAACTCTTGGATCCGGGAGAGGTGAACAAGGCCAGAAAAGTCCAGCTCCAGAAACTCTGGGACCGAAAAGCCTTTACTCCCGTTCTTCCGGAAGAGATCCCTAGAGGAGCCCAGATTTCAACCACAAGTGGGTGGACAAGAACACCCGTGGCGCTTACAAATCACGGTTCACGTGTGCAGATGTCAAGGCCAGATACACCAGCGCCCAAGAGAACGAACTGGATGTGTTCGCGCCGACTCCAACGCCGGAATCGCATGCTCTCTTGGAAATCTATGCTTTGCAAAATGGGTACTTCACTTGATCCCTTGACATAGTCGCTGCCTTTCTTATCGGCGCAGACCGGGGTGCTGCGGAGGGCAAGACCGTTTACGTCCGCGCGCCCATGGAATGGGAGGACATCTTCCAGGTTTGGCTTCAATCCCTGGCGCCAGCTGACCAGAAGAAGTACCAAGGCAGATTTCGAGAAATTCTTTTTCGCTTGGACGGAAATCTTTATGGAAGGATCGGTGTACCGAAACGAAGTTGCGGAGATCTTGGTGAATCGACTGGACCCTGACACGTTCCAGTTCGCACGCGGCCAAAAAGACCCGACGGTCTTTCGTTGCAGCAAGACTGGGGTCATCCTGATTCATCACATAGATGATATACGAGCTGCCGGACCAACAGATTCCCTTGCAAGGCTATTTGAGAAAGAGTTCCCGAAGCACTGCGAAATCCAGTGTGGGGAGCTAGAAAGGATTGGGACAAGCGTCGAGGTGCTTGGGCGAAAGAAGATCCGCGCCAAAGATGCAATTCTGACCATGGCAGACCCGCGTCGCATTGCAGCTATTTGCAAGGCGCTAGCTGTGGAAGCGTGCAGAGCCACCGGGCGAGGCGCAAGCCAAGTCCTATCGGAGCGCCGTAGGCAGTGCCATCTATACTTGCCTGCGGATCGCCGCGACATCCAATTTTCGGTCGAAGAACTGGCCAGGCGGATGTCAGCCCCGAGACAGTGTGACTGGCCAGCTGCGAAAACCTTGGGAGCGTATCTCAATCAGCGTCAGTCCATCTACAGGGTGGTTGTGCTCGATGCAGGAATCGGCGCTGGTGATGCTCTACCTCTCGAGACCTTTGCGGGCTCGGATTGGGGTGGCTGTCTGGAAACCCGCCGCTCGACAGACTGCTATGTCATCACCTTGGGTGCAGTGCGGGACCCGGACCCAACCAGGACTTCCGGCAACCAGTTCGCCGGACGCTGAGCTGAGAGTGTCGTGAGGCACGCGTGAAACGATTTTTGATCTGGCAAGGCTGGACTTCAACCTAAAGGTTGCCAAGCCACAGATGTGGACAGACAGCTCGTCCGCTCTTCAGGCTGGAAAGAGAATTGGACCAGGAACCAAACTCAGACACTTGGACGTCTCTGAGTTCTACATCCAAGGAGCTGTTCTCGCTAAGTTGCTTAGCCTGGGGAAGATCAAAGGGACATACAACCCATCCAACTTCTTGACGAAGCGCGCCAAAAGCGGAACCGAAGTGCGGGCAGCCCTGCCTTCGTTAGGAATGCTTGAAGCGACCCCAGAGCAGGTGGAGAAACAGTTCCACCGTATAGATGTGAAAGTGTCCAATGTGAAAGATCGATGCACCTGGGAGCCAGGTAAGCCAGCCGAACTGCGAACGGCAGGAGAAACACCGCTACTCTCAGGCAACTCCGTGCCAGGCCAGGCGGGCAGCGCTGCCGGATTCAAGATCCGAACAGTTCTGCTTTCAGCCAGCGCTGTAACCGCTGCAGGACAAGGATGGCCACGCCCGGAGACATCCGATGGACTATTCGGTTGGGGAATTTTCATTTTGATGTTGATTGGAATCTCCCAAGTGACAAGTTGGATTGTGGCAGGTACGCTTTGGATGCGCACACGCCTCCAAGTGCGGCAGCCGGATCCAGAACCGTCAGAAATTGAGAGTTCAAGATCCACGCCAATGGCTCCACCGCCAAGAACAGTGGTGAGTCAGAGGGAAATGGAGGAGCTTGAGCTCTGGGGCGTGAGGTTCTCTGTACCTCATGGTGAGAGATTCCATCCCGACAGGAATTGTCCGACGCTGAGGCGAAGTGATGCGCGCGAGGTGGACATGCGTCGTGTACGCCAAATTTGCCCAGCGGCAAGCAAGCAGTAAGGCAGCAGCCAAACCCAAGACTGCGCCTACACCTCAGAGTGGGCAACACCGCCGCAGACGCGGGCAGCCCCGCCTAGAGCGGGATGATCCGCGTCCAATTTATTGGGATGTTTCACTTTCAAGGGACGTCTCACACCAAGCTACCTTTAAGGGGGGTGGCAAAATTCTTCAGGTTTTACTTGTAAAGAGTAGCATGGGTGAACGTGGCATGAGACCGTGTGACCCGCAGCCCCTTTTGACACCTCAAGTATTCAGGAAAACAAGAGCCCAATACGCTGCTACCGGGCGCTCCGCGCTTCGCACTAGTAGTAAGGCCAGGAGCCACTACTAGCTTCTTGGCTTCTTGCTACTAGTAGCAATTCTGTATAATTGTTACTACTAGTAGTAAGAATGCTCCTAGTAGCGATGCCAGGAGCCCCTAGTAGCGTCCTTGCTCCTAGTAGTAAGGCCAGGAGCCCCTACTAGCTTCTTGTTAGTAGTAGCAATTCTATATAATTGTTGCTACTAGTAGGTTTCTGTAGTAAGAATGCTCCTAGTAGCGATGCCAGGAGCCCCTAGTAAGGCCAGGAGCCCCTACTAGCTTCTTGTTACTAGTAGCAACTCTATATAATTGTTGCTACTAGTAGTAAGAATGCTCCTAGTAGCGATGCCACGAGTCCCTACTAGCGTCCTTGCTCCTAGTAATAGTAATAAGGCCAAGAGCCCCTACTAGCTTCTTGTTACTAGTAGCAATTCCAATTGTTTCACAGCCTGGGCTAGGAAATCCTTTCTGGCTCTCTGGCAACTCCTTTGCATTCGTCTCCCAGTCTGGGCCAATGTGTCCGCCTTCTGGCAGCAATTCTTTACCTTTGTCTCCCAGTGTTTGCAACTCCTGATTAGATTTGCGTTAGACTTGCCTCGCGGTCTGCGCCTGTAGCAATTCTTTAGCAGCAAAACTTCACATGTACCTTCTACCGCCCTCCTCAGCAGCAAGCCTTTCCATGTGCCACAATAGTTGCTAGTGTGTCCATCTTGTGTGCAACACCTCCATAGCAATTCTTTATTCAGTCTGGGCTCGTGTGCCCGCCTTTTGGCAATTCCTTAGTCGCAAATCCTAGTAGCTTCTTGTTACTACTAGTAAGGCACTTGTTACTAGAAGCGATGCACTTGTTCCTTGTAGCTTCTTGTCTGCCTTCTGGCAATTCCAAGGGTATCAATTCTTTACATTTGGTCTGCCAGTATGGGCTCTTTAGTAGCAATTCTTTGCGTTGGTCTCAGCCTCAACTAGTGTCTTGCCATCTAGCAACTCCTCAATAGCAATTCTTTACATTCATCTCCCAGTCTGCTCTGCCTTGTGGCAACTCTTTAGGTAAGAGCAACTTTTCACAATTGTCTCGCAGTCTGCAGCAATAGCAATTCTTTACATTCGTCTCCCAGTCTGGGCCACTGTGTGTGTAGGCGCTCCTTAAGAACAATTTTCTACATTTGTCCGCCATTCACCAGTGGCAACTCCTCAACATACATTCTTTACATTCGGCCCCGAGTTTGGGCAATATAGCGTCCAACTCCTCAGTCGCAGTTCTTTTTGCGTGGCTCACAGTGGGCTAGTGTGTTCTTCTTCTGGCAACTCTTTGGTAGCAATTCTTCGCATTTGTCTCTGGCTACTGCTCCTCAGTACCAATTCTATGTACTGTAATTGTTTCACAGTTGGCAACTTCTCAATCGCAATTCTAAACATGTGTCTCCCTGTGTGGGCTAGTGTGTCCACCTGCTGGCAACTCCTTTGCAGCAAACTTAACACTTGTTTTCCCAGCGCGCCAGCCTTGGGCACAAGCAATACCTTCCAATTTTGATTTTTAGAGACGCAAATTTACGGCGGTCAACTGTTTGGGGTCTGCGGTGGTGCAGTGTAGTTCTGATTGCATTTGCCGCAGCGCAGCTTCATTTATTGCCTCCTCAGCCACATTGCAGGTGGAAACCAGAGACCTTAGAAAGGCCGCACAAAGTCAAGTCTATCAACCAGACTTGTCAGCAAAGCTATCCCTAGCGCAGCTATCCTGACCTTGTGCAACTCTGAAGGGATGTGAGGCAGGGTGGGAAGGTTCCAGCTCACAGATCAGGCGCACCACGGGCTCCAAATTGCACTTGTTTTTGCACGGGGTCCATGCTCGATCAGCCATTCACAGTACACACTTTCCACCGCAACCACCACTGCCCAACGTTCAGCGCGCTTGGCATCTGACCTTGCGCACTGGACGCCGACGTGCGACCTATGCCCTTATGCATGACGATGCCACACTCAGATTCGTGTTCTCCTGGTCACTGTTTCACTAACCCTCGTCTTTCTTGTGTACCATTCACGGGTAGCCTGATGGCTTCTTGAATGTTTCTATTTAGCAGGGGGCACGGAGAGTGATTTCCCATCCGTGCCAACAAAGCTAACAAAATCAGTTGGGAGAGAGTTGGGACGCCAACTTTCGTACCTGCACTTTGATCTGGTTGTGATGTTGAGTAACCACGCTCTTCTGTAGACTTGAGGCTGTTTAGGTAACTATGACGTTGGCTGATGTGAGCGCGTGCCTTCGTTCTTGCTTCGTGACTTGGAGACTTCTTGAACTTGCAGGCTTTGATTGCAGGACATCTTAGGTGCCACTACCCGCCTCATGACTCCACGCAACATAAAGCCGCTGCAAGCACAAGCGCATGAAAGCACATAATACCTACAATAGAGAGATGTTTTCGTTTGACTTAGAGCGTTTCAAGGCAATGCAAGCAAACAGTTTGCTTTGGTTTTAAACCCCACAGGTTTCTGATGATTCATTGATTTGCGGAAGCGTGTTGGTGTTGTCACAGTGTTGTTGTTGTTGTTGGCAGGTTGAAGGCCGAGCTCTCGAAGCACGTGATCTCCTTATGTGACGAGATGACCAAATCGCCTGCGCCCATGCGAGGTTATTTTTGAACAAACTGCGAGGCAGAGCAAGAGCGGCAGCTACGTGGCAATTCACCCAAGATGACATTGCGACTAGGTTGCGTTGATTTGGTTCCAATGGCTCGGACCTGGCTTTCCGCCTGCGATTGACTTGGGCACGTAGAAGTTTACAGCTCCCACTCTCCCTTTGTCTCTATTTTTCTGTTTCTATCGCGCATTCCTCTGGTCTTGCTCCGTCTTATTCGCTTATTCCTACTCAGACTGAGTCACTGAATTGCAGGAGGGATGAGTTCCTAAGCAGGATGGATAAGTTCTTTACTGGTGCTCCTTTTTTTGTAAGATCTCAGACAGGGTTTTGATGATTAATCTTCTAATCTCAATTGTATAGCTCTCGCGGCCTGCTGTAATTCCACTTTCCCACCTACCCCCACCTAGCTTCTTTTCACCTCGCCCCAAAGTGGCTGGTGGCACGCGAGCACCTCCAATGCCTTCACTTCTACGAGGCGGGTAAAGTCAAAGCACTAATGTCCTGCTTGTAAAGCAAAGTTTGAGTGGAATCCTGATTGGACTAAAGCCAGTCTCTAAGTGCACGCGGTAGTCGTACGTCGATGCTCTGTCACGCCGCCCCTGCCATTATGGGTTCTTGGTGGCCAGATATTTGTACGTGATCAGCAACCCACAGACTTTCAAACCTACAGCTGTGTGTCACATGGAGGCCATCACTTCTAGGTTGGAGGCCACTGCTTCTAGGTTGGAGGCCATGTGGGTGTGTCACATCATACTGTTTGAATTTGGACACCCAGGTATTGTCGCTGGGCCTCACTGCGGGCGAGACGGCCTCTGTGGTGGATGCCGTCGAGGAGCGGCTGAAGCAGAAAGCACCTCACGCAATGACTTGCAATCTTCAGGCTTTGGTGAGTCTTGGCAGGCACCATTGGAAGCAGGCAGCTCCGTTGAGATGGCAAGGGGTGAGTCAATCTGGGTCGGAGTCTCAGCGTTGCAAGAAATGCACATTTTGTAAATCAATCAATCTGTTGCTGGTGGATTGCAGGACTTCTGGTCAGCGCTAGACGAAACTTCGGCTTCGATTGTTTTTGTAAACTCCAAGTGCGCTTCTTAGCCTGAAAGTGGCTTGAGCGCATGGACTTGCTGGTTTCCTTCACATGTTGCCTTGCTTAGGTTATGTTGGAGGCTCGTCCAGTCGCACCAGTCTCTTGCAGCCGCTGTACGACAAAGATTGCGTACTCGGTCGAAATCCAAGCCAGAGGCCCAGGTTTGGGGTTCACCATTGGACTTGTCGGTGTAGAGGCCTTTTAGAGGTCAACTCACGCTGGATCGGATTGCTTTTTTAGTGGCAGTACTGGGGGTAGTAAGTCCAAGACCAGTAGTGATCCACATAGAAAGAGGTACTGTAGTAGCTGGTGATGCATGATTACAAGTGATTGTATATACGGAATCTAGAAGAAAGTATGTGTGTTTGTATCTTTAGAGCACAATTGACACGAGCATTTTAGTTTTTCCGTTATTGGCTGGTTGCAGTGGCCTTCTTGCTTGTGCAAAGCCGCTCAGGCCACTCCGCTGCGTTGCTTTGGCTCCGCCTGGGACAGTAATCTCGGAGGACGGCGCATCACCCGATCGCAGCATGTCGAGGGACAAAGGCCATCGTACGCACAAAAGTGCACGAGACATTTGGGAGGAGCTAGGAAGCCGGTGGCAAGACATGTTCAATTGCCCCTTGACCTGGCACTTCAGCTGTGCAGAGGCCAGCCAGTGCTTTCGGCACGAGCTCCAGCAAAGCTAGGAGTTGTAACCATGTCGGTTTCAAGTGCCATCAGGTCCTGCAAGTGAATTGTGCAAATTCCTTGGGATGAATGGTGACACCGTTTCTGCTCCACCCTTCATGCCTGCAGAGTCAAGTTTCAGACGACATTTCGTCGCCGTGCTCGCAATGGTTGCTTTGGGGCTGCTTGAACAAATTTTGTTGCTCTGCCTTGCGGCGCTTGGTCTGACATTCATCAGGTTTTCTCCTGTGGTGCTTCTACAACCCCCCCGACAGAAAACCCACAGAAAACATATTATATACTAAGAGTATATATGCATTGGTTGTGACATGTGTGATGTTTGGGTTTATCTTAGTTTCGTTCTGTCGCAAGTACAAACCGTGGCAACAAACCTAGTCAACTGCTGACGCTGGTTCTCCTTTTTGCCTTGCGGTGGTTTTCCCAAAAACAGGTCTCTGGAAGTCTGGCACAGATGCTCCACAACAGTTTTTGATTGTTTTTGCAGCTAAATCGTCTAGAATCCTAGACAAACTTCCACCGACTGCACTTGGGAGGCTAGAAAACTCTCGTGAACAACCGACCGAAACAGCCTTCTGGCTTTAACTCAACGATTTCAAATCACTGACTAAGGTCTGTCGGTCACACTATACGAGCAACATATGCTTGTCGATGCTATGTCGTACAAACGATGAACATGTTCTGAGACCATGACGATGTTGTGAAAACAATGACAATGTTGTGAAACTGATAATTTGATGACAATGTTGAGAAAGCGGTGGCAATGTTCCTGAACCACGACAATTTTGTGAAAGGGTCATTCATGATACCGGTTGCCCTGAACAACAATCAATGATCCGTCAAATTACACTCCTAAGAGATCTGAAACATGTTTTGCCGGCCGGTTTTGAGTCTCCAATCCTGACAGCACACTTGGAACCAAGGATCGAACGGTGTGGGCAGATTCTGCTCCTTTGGCAGAGGCGTTGTTGACCTTTGCTCAGTGTTTCAAAGTCAGTGTTTCTTCCAGTTCCATCAAGAGGTGCTGCTTCCAGCACCCGGCTCGGAGCTTCAAGAGGCATGTTTGGGTTTTGCAGAGTACAACTGAATCCTTCTGAATCCTGAATCCATTTCTGTATTCTTCAATCCTGTGATACCCTACACCGAGTGGAAGTTTGATTTGTGTCGAGGCTCCTGTACTTCGTTCAAGGGATGGAGTGCTGAACTGTTCTCTGAGGCAGTTAGAAAGTAGACAAATCCTTATATACAATGCGTGAGAATTTTGGCAGGTTGCGACCTGCTCGCTTTGTAGGAGGGAAGAGTTGGAAGCCTGGAACAGTGGCCGGTAGCATCCGGTACCGGTAGCACTTGTGAAATCCTCCTTTCATTTTTGTGGCATCTTGACTTTGCTCAGGATTCATCACACGAGTCTACAATGACATGATTCCCGGCCCTCTGCTAGTGGTGCGCCCTGGCGACAGGCGAAGTTGCATCCTCTTGATTGCTCCCTAGATGATGTCAACTCAGTCAACTCGTTTAAGTTTGAAGGCTCCTGGTGAATTTGAAGAATGACTTGGAGGCAAAGTACCGCATGCCGCCATGACCTGAATACTCCAAATGCCACTCGCAACATCAGGTTCCAACAGGGCTAACAGCAAGTCGGCTACTGAGATATGAACCATAGCAGTGTCGCCAAGTTTATTGCATTGAGGCAATGACCAGGACTAGAATCTCCATGGGTTGCGACAGCCAGTGTCATGGCCACTTGGGGCTTAATTCAGGCAACACGTACCAGTTGCCCAACACTACAAACCTTCATGTTCATGGTGCAGCACCCAGTACAAGCTCTTTATCCAAGGAAAGTTTTGCAGGTTGGAGGCCCTTGCTGAGTAGGTTGGAGGCCATTGCTATTAGCTTGTTCAAAGGCCTTTCATTGAAGTGGCTCCGAGGCCTCCACGTCTCGCCAAAGAAACCTGCGGACGAGGTCTTTTTCACCATTGTTGGGCCACAGCAATCCTATATGTGCGCTAACTGCCGCTAACTGACCCATGGCCACTCTGTGCATTGGCCACCGTGTCGGAGGTACGACTATGCAATTTTGCCAGACCACTCTCCTGGCATCTACTGGGCCCATCCGCATCATCATGGCTCCACAGTGGTTGGCTGAGTTTGAAAACAAGAAACATTGTTTTCTGTTTCTTAAAGTCCGGGTGGGGTAGGCCGAGGAGAAGAGAGGTCGCTACTAGCTACTTAAGCTACTATATACCTACTGGATGCAGGATAGCTCACGTTTCTTCAAAGAAGCTCCCCCCGCCTGAGGGCAGGGGGAGCTTCCTGGAAGAGGCGCTGACACGAATGATTTGGTTCCTAGATTTTTAGGAAACTAATGACACTTTACTCCGCAGGTGGTTCAGGCAGGAGCTGGTGCAGCTTCAGCACTCATTGTTGCGGATCCACCAGGCCTGCATTCCTTGGGAACACTTTAACGCTAATGAGTTGTTGGCAATACTGCAGCGCTTAGAGGATCATCATTTTGTCATTGTTTTCATAATCAGTTGTGTCCTTCCAACTGTTTCAGTGCAAAGAAATGACGAGGCGTCCCAGAAGAGACATGGCGAACACCAATCGTTATTCTTTTGCCGCAGATTTAAGGCAACTAAAGTAACCCTCTCGTTCAGACATGGCGGCTTTGAGATCATTCCGCTCCATACAGTCCATATAAAGTCGGTATTTATGCGCTTTAGTGCTGTAGTTTTTCAAGCGCAACACCAACACCCAATGATATGAAAAGCATCTTCCACAATACAATTTGGCATAGTGACCGATAGCAACAGTTTGGCCATGTTTCATGATGCTAGTGCTGGAGTAGGATCTGGCAGGCTTCCTCTCAAAGCAACTGGAATCTATGCCGGATCACATTTTGATGCTGCAGCTGGGGGCCAAGCTCACCTTCTGCCGAAATAGTTGTACTACTGTAACAACTCAATGCTGGAAGACAATCAATGCAGACCATAATACTTATGTATATATATAGAGAGAGAAAGGATGAAACTATAGATCAGCATAAATCAGCAATGGTCGTTGCAAATATCTCCTCCACTTCATTTGAGCCGCAGGAATCTTCCCTTTGTCCTTTTGGACAAAGCTGCCGAGCTTTCCAAAGACAGACTTTTCCACAGCACCTCCAACGAAAGTCTATGGCTTGTCAATGGAGTTGAACGACCTGTGCTGACAGTACGACCAACTGAGTGGCACCGAATAAGGCTGGTCATGGCGGGCGTATCCGATTGGCTCTATCTAAGCTTTGGAGATTGTGAGGTTGCGTTGCTGGCCAAAGATGGCATCTACATTGATGACTTCCCACGCTGGATCCAGCATGTTTCATTGCCGCCTGGAGGACGAGCAGAAATCGTATCGCGATGCCCAAGTGGCATCGACTCTGAGCATCCAGTAGTTTCTTCTGCCTTCGGGAATGGCGTGGCATCCTATGCTGGGCCTTTGTTCTCTATCCGCTCCGTGGCCTCCAAAGATGGGGAAGTCACACAGACTCCGCTGACTGCATGGAAGCCGCCTCAACGGCCTGCATACTTACAAGATTTGCGAGGAGATTTGACCGTTCCAGATTGCTCGTGCCGGACAGCGATGGGGCTGAGTGCGGGGCCAAGGTCCGTCGATGGTCATACCTTCAAGGGGCCAAAAGCATATTTGCACCAATGGCCGCGTGATGCTGTCGTTGAACGTGAAGTCTCGGGCATAAACAAACATAGCTTCTTCGGCTGCACTGAGAGCTTTTACACACGCACATGGCGCTGCTTTCAGTCCCAATGGGTTGCAAGGATCCATGCATTCTCAAAGCAGAGCATTAATGGGTTACCCGGATGGTGCTCCTGTCCTCACACCCAATTTCTGAAAATTTGGCGGTAACACATGAAAGTCACTGAAATTTATGAAATGACCAATCATAAGTGGTGAGATGCTACATTCTCTCTGCAAGTAGAGAGCAGTACGTTTGTGTTTCACTCGAACCTACTTCAGCCGCAGTGAAACATACCAGCAGTACTTGTAAGAACCTTCCGCTTGAATCCGTAGCAACTAGAAGGTTATTATATATAGTATATAGGGGCCATTCTGCCAGCACTGCGGTACAGCTTCTCGCGAGGTGGTCATTCGTATCTGCGGAATTTGAGCCAAGATACTGTGCCATGCCCTAGAAAGGATTACAGGCAACACGGTATTGGACAGGAAGCACCTCATCACTTCAAACATTATATATATATATATAGCCAACTATGCTGAACCACAAAGCCGAGTAACAGCAGGGTGTTTGAGGCTCTGCAACAGGCTTTTGAAGCATGCCGAGCTTCGTTTGGCTCCCTGAGGCTGTTGTGAGTCCCTTTGAGATTATCGAACCAACTTTTGAAGCGGGTCTCATTTCAAAGTTTGCTATGGAGCTTGTGTACGCTGTAGGCTTGTTCTATATCGAAGGCAATCCCTCAAACAACGATTTGAGTTTTGATTTGAGTTTTCAAAGCGTGTCAAATAGGCCCAGCTCCTTGTTGCTACAATAGGTTTTGAGTGAACTCTAGGTTGACCCATATCGTTTGACCCCTCTTGCGGGCCTCCCTGTAAAGAAAAAAACATATATAAGGATAAGGAAAGAAGATTTAAGATCCTTCTGCGATGAGTATATGCGACAGCAAATACACGTGAGAGACATCGTGCGAGGAGGATATGTGACGCAACACCGCCAATAAGTTGAACTACAGTTCACAGTTCCATATCGTGCTCTTATCTCAAAAACAAGTTTCGCGAAAATGTGAAAGTGGCACGCCACATGTTTCATCTTAACGCAATACTTTGGTTGCTGCGTGCAGTTTACACCTTTTTGCATCGCAAATGCCAATGCTGGCCCTGGCCATGGGAGTTGGGTTTTCCGGGTAAACCAAGAGAGAGCATTCTTGCTACTAGTAACAAGAAGCTACTA